AGTAGGATTTAAGCTAACCAGTGGAGAAATGGGGGAAGAGTCCTGAGAATCTTGTTTGAACTCCTGGATGCAGTTAGGCCTGAAGCCATGCTAGTTGTGGACTTTTTCAGTTACATGAGTCAATTAATTCTCTTTTGATTAAATCAGTTTGAGCTAAGGTTTTGTCATTTATGTCTTTAGAGTCCTGACTGATACAGGCTAGGCTTTTTTGCTAATAATGAGCACTTATGTGCAAGGTATTGTTTTAAGTACTTTATATATATTAACTCATTTAATCCTTACAATTCTATGAAGCAGGGGATCGTTATCACCTTCCTTTTTTTAACTGTGGAAACTAAGAACCAGAAAAGTTAAATAGCTTCAGGATCCTAGGTCACAAAACTGGTAAATGATGGATGTGTGATACAAACCCTGACTGTCTGGCCCCAGAGTCTGCACACTTAGCCACTATGCTATGATGTACCCAACCTTATCTGAACCGAAAATCCAATCCTCTGACCCAAGGCAGTATCATCCTGGGACAAAAAAAATGTAGAGATTTTCTATTTATGCCATCTCTCCTCAATTTTGTCATACGTAAAATGAGGATAATCATAGTTTACCTACCTCATAAGGTGTTTAGCACATAGTAAGCATCCAATAAACAGTAGCCACTATTAGTGTTATCACTCTGTGGGTCACTGAAGTGCAGCTGACAATGAAACGCAGATGGGAGAGATGTGTCCTTTTTCGTATCTGTCTACTAGGTGAGGAGAGGAGATGCCAGGGGTGAGAGCTAAGGAAGCCTTCCTGTCTCTGACCCACTGCTTATGCTGTTTCTTCTGCCTGGAAGGCTCCTCATCATTGTCTCAACTCCTGTGGAATACTACCCAGCCCAAACATTACCTTTTCCATGAAGTCTTTCCAATTCAAGGGCCCCCTTCTCGCTGCTGAATTTCCACAGCATATAATCTGCATCTCATGTTCTGCCCCGTGTACCTGCCCAACCCTTCTGCTGTACTGTGTGCTCCCTGAAGGCAGGGCCTACTGTTTACCCTACAGTCTTCTTTTTCTCCTCTCAGCTCTAGTATGAAACAGAATCCCTTGGAGAAAGCTGAGAGCCCTGTGGAGGCCCCAGACTTACAGAGCTTCAGGGGTGCTGAGAAACCAACCAGGATGGGGTGAAGCAGTTCGCCAGGAACTGGACTTTGGGTAGCTCAGAATCAGGAGAAAGAACAAAGACAAGTCCCATAGTTAGGAGCAGGTGGGGCAGACAGCCTCTCCTAGGAGGAGAGGCAAAGGGGTTGGATAGAGAGAAGAGAGGAGGGGGCAGAAAGGTGTGCTGAACCTGAATGGGGAGTGAGAGCCGAGGAACTTGGAGATACCCGGCCAAATGCAGAAGGAAGACCTGCCCATTCTCCAGTGATTCCTAATAACTTAGACAGGGCAGATCCTGCTTGGGGTTTTCACAGAGCAACAAGACACGGCCCTGTACTTTCAGAGCTCTTCAGTCCAGTGAGGGTAAGCAGGCAAGTACATAAACTACTAGAATAGGGAAGGTGAGTGGCGCTCTATTAGAAGGACAATGGAGGGTTTTGGGCAGCAAGGTGCAGAGGAAGAAGAGACTCGAAGGGGAGGGTGTCTATGTAGAGAGGGGCGAATGAGGTGAGATGGACATGTGTGCTGAAGGAGATAGCAACTTGAAGCAGAAGAACCAAAGGCTGGGGGTGGAGGTGAGGTCAGAAAGAGAAAGTGCTGATGAAGATCTACAAAGGAGCCATTTGAAGGTAAAATGTGAAGTAATTGCTCAGAGGGTGGGGCAACCATATGGAGAAGCCAGGATTCTTTCGGGGAGGATGAGTCTTTCAGGGAGGATGGGTACCTTTGCAAAGGGATTTTAGGAAAATAGGGGTGGGCAGTAGGGCACAGAAGGCATATGCTGAGGTATCTTTCAGGAGCTTTCTGTGGGGAAAGGGATATCTTCCTAGAAAGCAAAGCTTCTCAAATTTGCATCAGATTCACCAGGAGGGTTTGATTTTCAGATTCAGTAGGTCTGGGTGTGGTCCAAAAATGTGCATTTCTAACAAGCTCCCTGGTGATCTGATACTGCTGGTCTAGGGATCACACTCTGAGAACCACTGCTACAGAGGAGGGGCCTTGGTGGTGCAGGGGTTAAGAGCTATGGCTGCTAACCAAAAGGTCAGCAGTTTGAATCCACCAGCCACTCCTTGGAAACCCTATGGGGCAGTTCTACTCTGTCCTATAGGGTTACTATGAGTCAGAATCGACTCGATGGCAATGGGTTTGATTTTCTGGTTTTCAGCCACAGGCAAAGGGATTCTTTAGTGAGGAAACCCTTAAAGGGAAAAAGGAGAGAGAAAGGTTCTAAAAGGAAAATGGGTGTGTGTGGGGTGTGTGTGGCTTCTCTGGAAATCTCTAAGGAAGGCACTAAGGGTCTCCCAGTTTCTGAAGGGAGGATAGACCTGTGAGGATGGGGCCTAAGAGAAACAATCTGAGAAAAAGGTCTTTGAGAGTTGGGAAATTTCAAGGGGGAGGGGGAGGTCTGTCAGACGATCTTTAAAAGGACACATGAAGCTCTTGGGGGGAGTCTGGAGAATGTCAGGGGGCCTCTGAGGGGATAATGGGGTAAGGGTCTCTGAAGGAGGTTTCAGAAGGTATCTGAGAAGGGTTTCTGAGGTGGTTTCAGAGGAAAGAGAATGTGGGAGATGGGGGGTGTAAAAGAGGTAAATCTGATACAGTCCTAAGAAAGGTTTCTTAGAGATGTTAGAGAGGGAATCTGAGGGAGAGCTCTGAAGAAGTCTCAGGAAGCACTGGGGGTAGATTGCTGATGGAGGGCAATTTTGGAGAAAAGGGTGCCTGGGGGAGGTGTGGTCTTCTGAGAAAGGTCTTGGGTGTAAGGAAGTGGAATGATGGAAGGATCTTTTAGAAAAACTCTGCAGGATAAAGTCTCCAAAAGGATATATAGAGAAGGTGAGTCTTCTGAGGGGGATCTGGGAGTGTCAGAGTGGAAGGTTTTTCAGAAGGAATTCTGGGGAGTTTCTAAGGACAAAAGCTCAGACAGCTGTTTTGAGGCGAGATGGAGGAGCTCCCAAAGGGGACGCTAGAGGATTTGGGAGACCTCAGAGGGAGAAGTCAGGGAGGGAACTCTTTAAGAAAAGACTCTTAGTAAGGCAAAGGGTTTCTGAGCGATGAATTCAAGGGATTCTGGCAGTGTCAGAAGGGTCTCTGGGAGATTTCAGGGGTTTATTCGGGAAGGCTGTAGGAAGTTGCTGGGAAAGATTTCAGATGGTCCCTGGTCTTTGAGAAAATGTCAGGAGTCCTAAAAACTCTGCATCTCAGAAGGATCATGAAGAGGATCTTAGGGGTTTTGATTAGGGTCTTTAGGAAGCTCATCTAAAAGGAGATCTAAAAGAGGGGGTTTTGAGGGGTTTATCTAAGGGGGATAGTCATAGAGAATGGCAGAGAAGAACTACAGGGAAATTTCTGGGATACCTGAAGAAGCAATTTTTGGAACAACTGGTGGGGTTACTGGGTTACTGGGATATGTGAAAAGAGTTTGGGAAGGGGCTTTTAGAATACAGGAGAAGAGTTTTCTGGAGATTTCGGGGAGTCTCTGGAGGAAATTTTTGGGGTAAGGGAGGTCTTCGGGAAGATTGTTGGTGTATATGAGTGTGATCTCTAGCGCATTTCAGGATAGTGAGATTTGGGGGACACGAAGTGGTCTCTGGGAAAGATTACTGGGATCTGTGGAAGGGTCCAAAGGGATGACTTCTGGGATATATTAAGGGGGCGTGGGCATGGGAGATGGCTACAAATGGTATAATGGAGGGGTAGGGTCCTCCAGGTGAGTTTTGGGGACTGGGGGCATTTTAGAGAGTCTCTGAGGAGAGTTTTGGGGATATGTCAAGGAGATCTTCAGGGGAGATTTTCAGGATACATCAGGGGTGTTCTGAAGCATTTTTTGGGAGTGCTCTGAGATTTAGGGGATATAAGAGGAAAATCTCCAAGATTTCTGGAGCGGGGGTAGGTGGGAGGAAAATTCTTAGGATATGTGAAGGGGAAGTCTGAGGAGATTTCAGAGGGTCTGTGAGGGAGATTGTTGAGATATGAGAAGCAGGTCTCTGGGGGAGATTTTTGGAATGTATGGGGTCACTCCCTATGAGTTGAAATCGACTCGAGGGTTACAGGTTTAGTTTATGAGGGGTCTGGAGCCCTAGTGGCACAGTGGTTAAGCGCTCAGGCTGCTAACCAAAAGGTCTGCAATCAAATCCACCAGTGGGGCAGTTCTATTCTGTCCTATAGGGTCGCTATGAGTCGGAATGGACTCGACAGCAATGGTTTTGGTTTCTTTTTTTTTTAATAGGGGGGTCTGGAGAGGATTTCAGGGAATCTGTGAGAATTTTCAGGATTTGTGAGTGTTGCTTCTGGAAAAGATTTCTGAGATATATTGTTTGAATATATGAGGAGTGACCTCTGGGAATATTTTTGGATAGAGGAAGGGACAGGAACCTTGGGGGGGAGGTCTTTGAAGAAAATTTTTGAGACATATGAAGAAAGTCTCCGGAGAAGGTTGTTGAAATGTAAGGGATGGTCTCTCGGGAAGACTTTTTGGACGGTATGAGGGGGATCTGGACGGCTTTCAGGATGACTCTGAGGGAAATTTTGGGAATCTGTGGGAATGCCCTCAAAGGAGGTGTGTGAGATAGATCTGTGGGGGTCATGAGAAAGGTCCCCCTCGCCTGGCCCCTCGGCGATCCAGAGGGTCTGAGGAGGATTTAGGAGGGAAGCTTCCGATGGGTTTGTGAGATTCGGGGGACGGGTGCGGGGATTCTTTCGAGGTGCCCCGGACCCCAAGGCCCGCGCTCGCGCCTGCCGCCGCCCGCGACTCGGGGTCCCTGAGGGGGCGGGGCCGCCCGCGCGGCCTGGGTCGCCCTGAGGTGATCCCCGCGCCCCCCGACCCGCCACCTCCCCGTGTCCGCCCGCCCCTGCCCGAGACTCACCGCCTCGGCCGCCGCCGCCGCCGCCGCCACTCGGGCCTCCTCAGACCACCGCCACCGCCGTCGCCCCCTCTCTAGCCCGCGAGCTCCCCTCCCTCCTCCCGCACCGACCACCGCCGCCGCCACCGCTGCCGTCGCGCTGCGTCACCGCGCCGTGCGTCACCACCCCCACCCCGCCCGGACGGATCTGTCGCGCACCGGCATTAGTTGTCGCCGAGATGACGAACGGCGCACCAACCAATGAGCAACGAGGACAGCCCGAAGGGCGGGAGGGGAGAGGGCAGAAAGGCGGGGTGTTGGAAAAGACTGGAGCGACAAGGGTTGAAAGATGCCCAAGAGGCCCGCCCCCTTCTCATTGGGATTGGTCGGGCGAGGGGATGATGGACAGTCCCCCAGGCTGAGAGGAATCGGAGCCGGCGGGCGGGGAAGGGGAGGAGCGCGCGCCGTGTTACCAAGGGCAACGGGCCTGGCGGGGCCCGGTATTGGGCCTCCTACCCCGCAGGGGGCAGTCTTGTGCTTGTCTCCCTCAGCTGCCGCGAAATAAGTCACAGTTCCTTACTCGGCCGTTCAGGGCCTCCTCACTGTGGCGTCTCTTGGATGCCTCAGCTAAGGCTTTTACCCACCTGTGCCCCTGACCATACAGGTTCAGAGTTTGGACTCAGGATTCCGGAGTCTCACCTTTCTCACCACACCACTCTTTGAGCCTGTTGTTTCGTCTCTCAAATGGGAATATTAATATCTCTTTCTCCCTTAGGATTGAAGGAGCTGAAGTGCATATAAAGCACTCAGCAGAAAGGAGACCATCAATACGTGGCAGTTGTTATTGCTTTTGTGGTAATCTGTTCATTCAACACAATTTCCTGGACCGGGGAAACTAATCAGACCTGGGACCCTTGCTGAGGAGGCTCTTAGGTGACAAGACATGGCTTGTTAAAGGCACTAAAAGAAATTCAGACAGGTTGGAGCGTAGAGTTCAAGGCAGGAAGTCTGGGGAAATGAACAGAAGCCAGATGTTTAACCGCTTGAGGGGGTTTGGATTTGTCCTGAGGGCACTAGGGAGCCATTGAAGGGTTCAAACCAGGCACAGTCATGGTGAGTTGGAGGTTTTTGAAAGATGCCTCCTGTGGGAGTGAGACTAGGGGCTGGGAGTCTAAGAGAAGCAGCCAGGGCAAGGATCCAGGTGGGAGATAGAGGTTGCATCAGGGTGGGACTGTGCGGAGGGAAGCAGGGATGGGTGGGAGGGATGCTCAAGGGGCCAAGTGAGCAGGCCCTGGGTTGGCTGGCCATGGAGGGGGAGAGAAGCAGATGTTCAAGAAGAGACCGTCTGGCCGGGAGATTAGGGAGGAAGTGGTGTGGCCTCCCTAGAAGGGGGCCCAGAGGAGGAGTAGTTTGGGGACACACTGAGCCCGTTGTGGGACATCCAATGGCAGAGTCCAGAATCCCCTGGGTCTGGAGCTTAAGAAAGAAATTGGTTCCGGAGACCAAGACTTGAGGATCATCAAAGACAATAATTAAAGCTGTGGGAGTTAGTGAGGTGGCCCGGGGAGGGTATGAGGGGTGAATGGAGACAAAGACCTGACACAACCCTGAGAAACTGGGACACTTAAGGGTGGGGCAGAGGAATTAATACTCTCAATAGAGATTGAGAAGGAGCAGCCAGAAAGAGAGAGGAGGAAAAGCAGGAGAGCGTGGCATCACAGACGCGGTGAGGAAAGGCCTTTTCAAGCCAGGGGTGGGGAGACATCACAAACCCCACCCAGTACACCCTCTACATTTAAGCAACAACTTTCACACTATATAGAATGGTTATGCTCAATAGCTGCTGATTGATTCATTCATTCAATAATATTTCCTGAGTACCTAATATGTGACAGGCACTGCCCAAGGTGCTTGAAATACAGCAATGAACAAGGCAGACAAAAATGCCTGCCTTCATGAAGCATGCATTCTAGTTGGGAGACATAAACAGTAAATGAATATGTGTGATGTGATTTGGTGATAATTACTCTGGAAAAAAATAAAGCAAGGTAAGAGGATGGAGCTATGGCGTCAGTACTATTTTAGATGGGGAAAGACCTCTTTGATTGGGTGAGATTTGAGGAGAAATCTTAAGGAATAAAGGCATAAACCATGAAGATGTTAGAGAAAGAAGGTTCCAGAAAGAGGGAACAGCAAGTGCAAAGGCCCTGTGGTAGGCTTACTCACAGAATTACTAAGCAGCTAGCATGGCTGGAGTAGGGTGCACAAGGAGAAAAGAAGTGGAAGACAAGGTCTAAGAGGTAATAGGGAAGGTGGCAACAGGTAATTTACAGTTTTAAAGGCTGTCGTAAGGCCTTTGGCTTTTACCTGACTGACACAGAAGCCCGGGAGCAATATTGAGCAGGGGAGGGCCATGATCTGACTTTGGTTTTATTAGGATCCCTCTGGCAGGAGTGTGAAGAATAGATGGTGGAGGGAAGGGTGGGAGCAGGGAAACCATGAGGAGTTTGCTGTGATAGTTCAGGCAGGAGATGAAAGCAGACAGGACCAGGGTAGGGACTGTGGAGGGGACAGAAGTGGGTGGGTTCTGGTTACATTTTGAAGTTCATAGCTGACAAGTTCTGACATGTGTTATAAGAGGAAAGAGAAGGGCCAAGGGTGACTAAGACATGCAGGTGGAGATGTCGAGTTGGCAGTTGGATGTAAGAGTCTGGAGTTCAGGGAGAGGTCCAGGCTGGAGAAATAATTTGGGCGTCCTCACTGAAACCAAGAGATTGGATGAGAGCAGGAAGAAAGTTAGATGCAAAAGAGTAGGAGAGCAAGGCCTGAGCCCTGGGGCTCTCCAGTGTTTGAAGGAGGAACCAGCAGGGGAGACTGAGAAGGAGAACCAGGGGAGAAGGAGGAAGGCTAGGCAAGTGTGGTGTCCTGAAAGCTGAGTGAAGACGGTGTTGCAAGGAGCAGCGAGTGGCCGATAGTGTCAGATGAGGCTGAGATGGCAAGTAAGATGAGGACTAAGAATGGACCATTAGACCCGGCACCCTGGAGGTCACCAGTGACCTTTCA